TTAAGAGTTATCCACACTGCTTTCCATAGGGGTTGAACTAGTTTGCAGCTCCACCAGCAGTGGATAAGAGTTCCCCTTTCCCCACATCCTCTCCAACATTATGTATCATTTGTTTTCTTGTTCTTAGCCACTCTGACGGGGTTAAGGTGGAATTTTCAAGTGGTTTTAATTTGCATTTCCCTAATGACTAATGATGTTGAACACCTTTTAAGATGCTTCTTAGCCATTTTTATTTCTTCTTTTAAGAACTCTCTGCTCAGCTCCTTAGCCCATCTTTTAGTTGGGTTACTTCCTTTCCTCATTCTTTGTTTTTTGAGTTCATTATATATTCTAGATGTTAAACCTCTGTCAGATGTATTGCTAGTGAAGATTCTTTCTTATTCTGTGGGTTTTCTCTTCACTTCCTTGGTAGTTTCTTTTTGATATACAAAAGCTTTTTAGTTTAATGATGTCTCATTTGTTGATTCTTGACCTTCTTTCCTGAGCAACTGATGTCTGATTTAGAAAAATCCTTTCCTACACTTATATCTTGTAGGTTATTGCCATTGTTTTCTTCTAACAGTTTCAGAGTTTCAGGCTTCACATGAAAGTTTTCGATCCATTTGGAATTGACTTTTGTGCAAGGTGAAAGAGGAGTTTAGTTTCATTCTTCTGACAGGTGGAGATCCAGTTTTGCCAGCACCATTTACTGAACATGCTGTCTTTCCTCCAGTGAATGTTCTTGGCCCCTTTGTCAAATACCAGGTGGCTAAAATTGCATGTACTCATATTTGGGTCTTCAATTTTGTTCCATTGATCTATGGGTCTATTTTTGTACTAGTACCATGTTGTTTTTATGACTATAGCTTTGTAATACTATTTAAAATCTGGTATAGTAATTCCCTGGCATTGCTCTTAGTGCTCAGGGTTGCTTTGGCAATCTGGGTCTTTTGTTCTTCCATATGAATCCTCAGAGTTTTTTTTCAATTCTGTGAAGAATGTCATGGTGATTTTGATTGGCCTTGCATTGATTCTATAAATGGCTTTTGGTAGGATGATCATTTTCACAGTATTGATTCTTCCAAACCATGAGCATGGGAGGTCCTTTAATCCTCTGATGTCTTCCTGAATCTCTGTCTTTAAAGATTTAAAATTTTCATCATAGAGGTCTTTAATGTCTTTTGTCAAAGAGTTTCTCTGAATCTATTGAGATGACCATGTGGCTCTTGTCTTTGAGCCCATTTATTACTTATAACATTTATTGACTTACGTATATTGAACCATCCCTGCATCTGGAATAAAGCCGCCTTGATCATGGTGGATGATCTTTTGGATGTGTGTCTGTATGTGTTTTTCAAGTATTGTGTTGAGAATTTTTGCATCTATGTTCATTAAGAATGTAGAATGTAGTTTTCTGTTTTGGTGTCTTGAGTTGCAATGTTGTCATTTATTTGTGTTCTTTCCAATTTTTTAATGTAGGCACTTAGCACTATAAACTTCCCTCTAAGGACAGCTTTCAGCATGTCCCAGAGGTTTTGTTGTGTTGTATTGTTCTTTCC